AGCAATGTAGGATCATAACTGCCTGTACTGCCGAGATGATCCCTACTTGAAAAGGCGGAGACAGATTGTTGCGACAAATCGAGTTTCAAAAGCCCATTTATCAATCACATTTTCAGGCACACCAGTCAAAGAGCCATCGGACCCATGAGAGTCCCCTTTTTTGACTAATATACAAGGCCTTTGCCGGGATGTCTTTCATCAAGCAAAAGAGGGGCAGTAAATGGAATAAACTAAGCAAGAGATCAACTAACCAAGAGAATGAACTAACCCCAAGGGATGATCTCAGATTGAAATCCAAGGCATGGTCCCATTGAAAGCCCAGGGAATAATTCCTAAAACATAAAAAAAATAGGATTTAAATAAAGTCCAAGGGGGTATGATCCCAATAAAGATAGGATGGATTGTCAGTAATTTTGGACGAAGCAGCGGGCATACCAGAAATGGATTGTAAGGAATGGTAGATGGAGCAAGGATGCATAGCAGGCTTAAAACACGACACAAGTAGGACGCACTGAGGCCGAGCTTTCCTCTACTACTCATTGGAGCTAGCATACGAAATTTTCTGTTGAAGGGTTCAACTATCAGGGTGGCCATTGCGAGCGATATTCACTTTCAAGAGTCATTGAGCCTACGCCTATTTCATTACTCTCGAAGAGCTCATCAAAGAGCTAAGGGATGAGAAAAGTCAGAGGTGGAATTTCTTTCAATTATAACATTTACTACAACATCTTACAACACTAAATATTACAGAAAATGACAGAGAATTCGGTAAGGGGATAGAAGCACATCCTGCACCCGATATGTCAAAGCAGCTTGAAGCCCTGCAACTCGCGCATACTGATGAAAGGGAAAAAGCAGGCCAATTCACGCATCTTCCGCAGAGTACCAGAAAAGCCCTATGAGCTAACTTTCCATTTGACGGCAAAGAGCAAGCGGACCTGTGCATCCTCATCAGGCCTTGGTGCATCAGTCCGTTTGAGGACTTCAATCTCAGCCGCCTTGGCATCGAGTTCGGTGGTCATAGCGGCAACCTTGATCCGCAAATCAGCAGCTTCTGCCGCTACCCCACGGCCAACCTCCAACTCTTCTTCCTTAGACTGGAGAAGAGTCTNGTCACATCTTTGACTAATATACACGGGCTTCTGAGAGGATGTCCTGTTTAAGCAGCAGCCAAGGCGCCAAGACCCGTTGTTTACAAATCAGGTCAAAAGCCCAATATAACGCATTTGGAGGGCATGGCGGTACAAGGAGCCAAGCCATCAGAATCAGACCCGTAAAGGTCTCGTTTTTGACAATAAACATGGGCTTCTGAGAGGATTCTTTAATCAACCAAAACCTGCAACAGAGTCCTTAATTTCTACCACTTACAAGTGGAGAGGTGTTCCATTCCCAATGGCAGAAGAAGGATGCAAGCTTGGACAAGATATTCTTCACTTGGTTGGACAGGAGATGCAGCGCGCTTAGCGTCGGAAAGATCCCTCAACATGGGTGTTGAGGGAGACCCCCCCCCTAATGAAAAAAGGGCTTAAAAAAAAGGACGAAGTAATTTCGTATATAAAGATATGGGTTTCCGGGTTTAGATCGAAATTACATCCCCGAAAACCAGGGCTGGAGTATTAGACTTGTTCTTCTTCGATAGAGGCACTGTAACTGTAAGTGGAATAACAATCATTCGGCCGATTGCTCTTACTCTTATCCTTCCTTCGCTAACACAGAAGAGAGAGAGCACTCCCCAAGCCAAGGATGAGTGCCAAAGAGAAGATGCGCAAGCTAGTCTATCAGAAGGAGAAAGCGAGGGAGTGAGATTTTAGGTTTCATTAGGGTAGACTGAAGACGAAGCCAATCTCGATTAAAAAAAGAAAACTTATTGCAACTACGAACGTGAACAGATGCTTTCTCATTAGACTATTTTAACCGATTGTTTATGTCGACCCTACGCTACGATTCTTCTTCTCTTATGAAATTTCTAGTTAGATGAACACTGCTCTGCTGCATGACGGAGTGATCTTTCCCTCTTATGAAAGCCGGTATCTCACTTTCGAAAGAGAGTCTCGACGTGGCGGTGTAGACCTAGCTCCATAGCTGGGCTAGTCACTGGCTAGAGGGCGACCGACCTACCGGACCGAAGGCAGCCGAGAATGTTATGTAAAAAGGACCAAGGAGGATCCTATCCTAAAGGAGAAGGAGGAGGAGTAGGAGCTAGCTTTAGGGGCGGAATCGAAGCGAAGAAATTAGTTCATGCCACGACGATCTATATGGAAGGGAAGTTTTGGAAGATATGACACTTTAACTTTAGGTCAAATGCTTTTTTGGATGAAACTTTCTTATTTACTATCCCGAGTAGTAAGATTTTTAATACATATTTTAATACGGATACTCTATCTGCTACTAATTTCTTACTTATTAAGAAAGGGTCATGGTCATATAGACATTTTGCTCTTTTTTCGCATTTTTTTGACTCCCCTTCCTCAAGTGGAGAAACGAATTCGTCCTGTTCTACTACTACTATAATTATAGGATCATCCCATACAAATTCACTTCCAGTTAGGCAGGATAATCCGGCGCCCCCCCCCCCCCTCTCTCCAATTCTCATTTTCTTTGGGGTCGTCAGTTCCCAAAGCTTGAGGATCTGGAGATAGACCTCTATGCTCGAATCCGTCTCTTAGAAGCACGCCTAATCGACCAATTACCTCCTCAACTTAACGTTGGGGGATACGAAGAGTTAGTGAGAAGCTTTTTAAATGAAACCCGAACTCCGATTGAATTTCTATCAGCGGTAAATAATGAGCTGTTCGATATCAAAGTTTTAGAGTTAAAAGCGAATCTTCAGGATCTACTTTTTAATCTCTTTCTCAATGAACCGGACAGCGAATTTCTTCCGATTTTACGTGAATCCCCTTTTAGGGAACAAGGCTGAAGGCCAGAAATCCTAGAGTATATAATTCTGCAGTTAGACAGAGCCGGTCTGACCGATCCGCATCCCCGCGATCCTGTAATGAAGACAGTACTCGAAGAATTTCTTCGGAGAATGCTACTTGAACTACAGCAGCAATGGCGAAATAGCCCCGTCTATCATGACTTTCTCCGCTATTTTCGGAATGGGGGAGACTAGGTGAGGGGTAAACCTTCTGTCTGATTCAATCTGATGCTTTCAAATCCGCTTAAAGAGTACTTTGGTGTCACTTAGTATAGGGAAGTGTCCCTTTTTGTTGTCTTCGTCCATCTTTTTGTCTCCCATGCTTTCCGTTGGTCAACAACCAACCAAAGTGATCTATACATCTTCACTACTCGTACAGGCTTGACGGAGTTAAGCTGTATTGAGGGAATCGTTTTGTCTCAATCAATCAAGAATGCCTCAACTGGATAAATTCACTTATTTCACACAATTCTTCTGGTCATGCCTTTTCCTCTTTACTTTCTATCTTGGTAGAAGGTTTCATGAGAGACACTTCTTTTTTTATGTACTAAATTTTTGGCGAGTTATTTTCTACTTGAAATGTTTTTTTCTTTTCTTTTTCTTGATACGCGCCAGCTTTCTCCTTTGCCAAAACATACATCTCCTTCTTTCTTCACATACCCTTTTTGAGGTTCTTCCGTCGGAACTAGACCTTCTAGGCGTCTATTTAATCCAAGGGCATCAAGACCCGGAATGGGTAGAATATGTACCCTCCAACGGGCCTTCCAGCCCTGGCTTTGGCTGGACATCCTTCCTAGAGCGGGGCAAACTCGCTAGGCTCCGGCTCCGGCTCTGGCTCTAGCTCTGGCTGGACATCCCTCCTAGAGAGCGGGGCAAACTCGCTAGGCGCTTCCGAAGCTGGCTCTAGCTCTGGCTGGACATCCCTCCTAGAGAGCGGGGCAAACTCGCTAGGCGCTTCCGAAGCTGGCCTAAACCAGCCCCCTCTTATTCCGGAACTCCACCCTCCCTTTCTAGATGACAACATCCGGAGAGCGGAGCTCACTAACCGGATGAGAAGTATTTTATGGGGGGAAGATTACGAAGAAGAAATGCTGAACTCCGTTGTTCGCATTCAAATCCAAATAGAAAAGAATGTAGAAAGCACACTTGTGAACGACGGCTATTCCCCTGGTTCTCTTCTTGCGAAGAGAAATCAGATCAGAGGGCTCCTCTTCTCTCCAAGGGGAAAGTCGCTTAGTCAAAGGACTTACGCTTTGTATCTGAAGGAGATTCTCCAGTTGGGTACAAGGCAAAGCGTTCCATTTCGCCGCCTTGAAAGAGCCATCAAGGACTATGATCTCCTGCTTTTCTAAGAAAGAAAATTCTTCCTTTTTTTCTCCCACTCTTTCTGTGAGGCAAAACCTCACCACACTACACTACACTACACTTCGACACAAGAGAAGAGGACCGGGCGCTTTCTATCTTCGGGATAGGAGTTGGCGGTCTTCTTTAAGAGAACTTCAATCTAATACTCATTATGGATCAACTCATGTTTCCACTCTATTTTCATTACGAAGATGTATCACGTCAGGATCTGTTGCTCAAACCGAATCACGCCAACGTTATGGAAGTTCCTGGATCGTGTAAAATAATAGTAGTACCAAAGACAGCATCATCTATCAAAAATGGAAAATTGGCTATGGAGATTCCGTGCGGTCAGAAATTAATACAGACACAAAGGGCTTCAACAGGAAAGTCGTTTCGATCCAATCCATTCTTGGGGTCAAATAAAGACAAAAAAGGATATGTCAGTGACCTAGCACGACAAAGCACTCTCCGAGGGCATGGAATGTCTAATTTTTTGGTAAGAATATCCACAGTAATGTCTCTGTTAGATTCTCCGGTCGAAATAAGGGAAGGTCAATTCAATTCTCGATGGAAACGGAATTTTGCGAATTCTCCCCCGAACTGGAAGATCATTTCGAGATCTTCGAACATATTCGAGGGTTCAATGTTACTATTGTAACTTCGGCCAACACACAAGATGAGACTTTACCACCGTGGAGCGGCTTTTTGCAAAAAGATGAGGGGGAAACTCAGTAAGATGTCGGAGAAGCGAAATATACGAGATCACAAACGTAGATTGCTCGCGGCTAAATATGAATTGAGACGAAAGCTTTATAAAGCCCTTTGTAAAGATCCCGATCTTACTAGTGATATGCGGGACAAACATCGTTCTAAGTTGTCCAAGTTGCCAAGAAAGAGTTCCTTTGCACGAGTAAGAAACCGATGTATTTACACGGGTCGCCCTCGTTCCGTATATGATACAAATTTCTCGTATCGTTTTTCGTGGATTAGCATCTCGAGATCCTTTTGATGGGCATAAAGAAATCGTCTTGGTAGCAACCACCAAACCAAGAGAACAAGGGTTAGCTCCGCAGCAGGTCTACAAGCAAGGTAAGTAGGTCCATTACCAGCCGGCTCCGGACCGAAAAGACCTAACGGACTAATCCCTTATCTAGGATCGTAGATGCTAACGGGGCGGGAATCGAAGTGGGGGACCCCTCTACCGCCTGTGTCTATCTCCTGTCAAGTATGCTCCCCAGACATAGACTACGTACAGGGTAGTACTCTTGGAAAGATAGAATATCACCGCGTGAACATAACATTACATTAAGTTACGAATGTAACTCCCGAAGGATCGACCACTATTCTAAATATAGTAAGGCGGAGAACTGTTGTTCAGTGGAGCGCCGGAGTGCAGAGGTTGTTCCCATCATTGAAGTCAGGGTGTGGGACTGAGCCTTCCGAATGAGAAAGAAGAAAAGTGCTTAGTTTCGTTGGAAAAACCAACGCAAATATCATATTGACTTTCTCTCGCCCTACTTCTAAAGATAGATAGAAAAGGTTGGAGAGAATGACTTTCTGAAATTCTCTCCTTTCTAAAGCTGCGCAAGGCGGCCCCCCCGGAACAAAGCCCCACCCCTCTTTTCCCCCCTTTAATGAAGGACCCTCGTTTCGCTTTCTATTCATTTGTGGGTCTGGACCCGAGGGCCTTTTTTTTCAAGAGGTGATTTCGAGAATCAACCAACAGAAAAATCCGTAGCCCAGGTGACTCACAGCCTCCCTCTCGCCCAAATAAATGAAATGGGATGAATCAAATCAATAAGCACACGGCTCCGGCCGCAGGTGCAGATTGGGTAGTGGCTCTCGATGCAGGCCGGATAGCGGCCCTCGGCGCAGGCTGGGAAGGGGGTGCCGGTTGATGGAATGCGAGCGGAGGAGCCCTCGTCCTTCGCGTTCTCCCTGCCAACAAAGAAAAATGGTCACATAACGACAAGATCGAACCGTAAGGCAAAGAAAGCGGGCCGACTCACCAGTGAGAGGCTTACGCCCATATTTCTCGTGGAAGGACGTCCAGTCACGAATGCCCCTTGTATGGGGAAGAATTGCGTTCACCCACTCACAAATATCGTCAACTGGCGGGGGAGGTAATCTCTCGGCTGCAAAAGCAAAAACAAGTCAGCAATATCACCTAAAGAAGAACGATCGACGACCGCCTTGAGAGGAATCGCAAAATAAACAAAGGAAAACTTACGAGAAAAGTTCCACGTCTCAGGGAACCCAGCCGAGTCCGCCGCAAGGTGCTCTGTCCGCACATAAAAATGACTTTACCAGAAGCGGCGATTAGCCTTATCGTCCATCTTCACCACCAAATTCTTGGTTCCTCGATGGCGCATGTGGATCATCGTGCCCCGAAGAAATTGAGGGGAAAAATATGAAGCATGTGCCCCACCCCGAAGAAATTGAGGGGCAAAAATATGAAGCATGTGCCCCAAAGTAATCCCTTGACCGGCGAGCTCCGCATACTTGATGAGCATGAGGAAGAGCTTGTATGCGTACGGTGAGAGTTGAGCCGGGCACACTTCGTAGAAGCGGCAGAAGTCCACCTCTAGAGAGGGAGAGGAAGCGTATATCCAACAACAAAAGGATACGCATAAAACGCGCAGTACCCCGGGCAGTTCAAATGTACAATGTCTGTCCCCGTCGCCGGTAACATTTCAATATGATTTGGAATTCCCCACTTAGCCTTGAACGTCATAATCGCCGCTTCATCCATGGTGGAAGGGACAGGTTTCGGTTCGTCTCCGTCAGGGCTGTTAAAGTCAGTCCATAATTTCCCCGGATAGGGTAGTATCTCAACCACAGTCGGAAACCCCTCATCTTCTGTCACCTCCATTCCCTCTCCAAGAAGGGGTACATCATTTTCCGGCACCAGAGCTTCGACGAACTTGTCAGTCTGGGCAGAAGCACCGACCATTTATCTAGCTCGATTGGAATAAACAAGAGTGATAACGAAATAGAGAGGGCAATCACGTCAAATTCTGACGAAAGCAGAAGTGTGGAATATTGAAGAAGGTGGAAGTTTGCAAAATTCCTCAGGTAAATCGAAAAGCGTAACAATCGAACGGTGGTTTCCCCCTATATATAGGAACACAAATGCCCTGAGCGGGAAATCCGAGAGCCGCCAAAAAGCTGAAAGGGCACAAGAAACGATGTGGTGCCTGGGAAACGTGCGTCATAATGACGCGTAACGGGCATTCATGGTATCCTGAATCGACATGATGATCCATCTCCGAATGGACATAATGGTCCGGTAAAGTCCTTAAAAACATCACATTGCCACCTCGCCATAAGGACCCCGTCCTCGCACAATGATCAGATTTCTCCTAATTCTTGAACACACAGGATCCACCCATTGAGCTCGCCCAAAAGACGACCCAACGGGCGGAGGGACTAACTGTATGGGTCAAAATCTGACCACTAGATGGTTATCATTAAAGGAGACGGTGAGAGGTCGACCCCGCCATGGTCGTGCCCACGAGGCATAATGGCGACGAGTACCACGGTCCCTGCCGGGGTCAAGCTGTTAGAAAGCTTACATTGAAGGACAAGTAACGTCTTTAGCAAGTAATGAAGAACTTAGTCATGAGAAAGCATGCCGGTCAAAGACCGTTGGATAAAAGGAAAAATTGTTAGTATATATAGAGAGGCGGGAGACCGTTGCAAGAGGGAGATCGGGCTATTACATTTAGAGCCATCATTACGGAACCAGCAAAGGGGGAATCTCTTAGCTATCAACAGCTTTCTATTAGGGTGTAAACCTACTATAGATGTAAGCTTATCATTTCCACTCGATGTATGATAATCATCTTGAAAAATATTACATCAGTTTGTTCTTCTCCAATTTTTGTATTCAATATATTTTGATCTAAAGATAATTATGTTTGGCTAAGACTTACCCATCTCTATTAATTGACTTAACTAAAGGGTTTAGCGTTCTTTTGGTTAAACAATATTATGTTATTCTCATCTTCAAATTACTTAAAAGTTTGGAGACATTCTTTTTTCCATAAGCAGAAGAAAAGGGACCTATTTGTGAGCTGTAACGAATACAGAAGTAGTAATTGCTGATTCGGTGCTTGGCATTTTCTTTTAATTGCTTTTTGTCGCAACTGGCAACTGCCCGGGCCTTCGATGGATTTAAAAATAAATTCGAGACAGATTATGAAATAAGGGAAACAGCTACTTACAGTCACATGGATAATGGGTGTCGGTGTCGGTCCGTCGGATGAGCTGCTACATCTTCACTTTAGTTGCCCCAATTGTTGAGTCTTTCCTCTTTCTTTATTTGTATATTTATATATAAAACCGCCAAATTTAACAGACATAGTTGTAATTCTTTATTTATTTGGTTTCCCTCTTGGGAAGTACATTTGGATTTGATTTCTAGAAGATTTTTAGAATTACTAGAGAATAATTTGTTTTATACACACACAGTTTGTTTCTTTTCGTTTTCAAAAATTGAAGAAAACAAGATGTGTTGTCAAGGATAAAACAAATGTTTTCTTTTTAATTTCTTTCGTCTATTCTACAAATAAACATTAATGAACCCCAATATTGAGATATCTAAAACGATTTGGATCATTTTTTATTAAATAATTCTCAATAAAAGAGCACTGGTTAGCATCAACACTGCATAATATTAATATCAGCACAGCTTGAGCTGCAGTTTCATGCTTGGTTTTCACGCCCTTCCGAGTGCAAGCAGGGACGGCTCAAGAGATCTCGTGAACTAAGGCGAAATCATATTGAGGGGCCCTTAAATTTATTTTATAAAATATTTACACTAATAATAAAATTTATTTTTTAAATAACAAATTAATCATTTAAGACAAAAAAACGAATTTAAAAAAAAATAAAAAATAAAATCACAAAAAATAAAGTGGTGGTCTACCGGATGTTGAGGTCAACTCAAAGTGAAAATTTTGAATTGGCTATCATCACAAACAAGAAAAAAAATAAACATACATAACGTAATAGCTTAAGTTATAAGCATTGACGGTGTTTGACTCCTTCCAATCAATTTAAATGATAATTGTAGTTCATTCTATTAAGTAGCACTTATTAGTGAATATCTAAAATAAATTGTAGATAACCTAATATAATATGTCGAATTACACCAAAAAAAAATCGGTACATGAATGTTTTTGTGTTCATGCAGTTTTAGATAATATTATAAAAGAAATTCATTATGTTGTCGATACATATAACTTAATTTCTATATAAAAAGGATAAAACTAAAATTGAAGAGTGAAGCAACTATACTAATTAATGAGGGAAGAAAATTATCATAATTTATAAATTTATTAGGATAAAATAACCTCAATCAAGTAACAAAAAAAATATATTGTAACACTTTTCTTTATACTAATGATTTCTATAAATTATATAGTATATAATAATAATAAATAATAAAAATTTAAAATAAATTTGGGGCCTTCAAATTCTGGGGGCTAAGGCAATGGCCTCACTTCCCAAAGCCTTAGAGCCGCCCGTGAGTGCAGCTTCGAACATAAAATACAGTGAAACTTGGTTTTCCTCTCCGTAAAAGCTGTATATATAAAATTCCTAAGATTTTTAAAAATAGTTAGATTTACAACTGGTCGTTCAAAAATAGCCCAATTTCAAAAGTAATCGAAATTTAGCCACTTTTTATGTAAAGATAAATCTGAGCGAAAACACTGTTCAAGACCCGGAAAATACTTCAATATATTATGCTGGAGTTCCAACATAAGTATGCTTGAACTCCAGCATATTATACTGGAGTTCCAGGATAAGTATGCTGGAACTCCAGCATAATATGATGGACTTCCAGCATAAGTACACTAGAACTCCAACATAATATACTGGAGTTCCAGCAAGTATAATTGTCCAGTATAATATACTGGAGTTTGGAGCACCGGTGCTCCAGTATATTATACTGGAGCCAGCAAAGTATACGGGTCCAGCATAATATGCTGGAGTTCATACACAGGTGCACCGAACTCCAATATATTATGCTGGACCAGTCTCTGTTGCAGCAAAACGGTGGCTATTTTTCATTGACTTGGTGAACGTTGGCTATTTTTGATTGACCAGTCCGAAAACTGGCTATACCATGAAATTTTGCCATAAAAGTCAGCAAGCTAATATTACAATTGTCAGCGTAACTGAAAATAATGGCAAATATTAAAACAAACCTATACAGGTCAAATCACAAAGCAGTTTTGATTTGAAAATGCTCCAGCATCACATGATTAAATACGATACCCAGGCATAACTTAGCTTTACTGGTGAAAAACCACTTAAGAGTTAAAAAATAAGTTTATTTCCCTTATTATCTTAATTTCAAATATTAAAAACATCCTATTACTAAGTGTCACCTCCATAAAGAAATTCTTACCATCACAAGTAATTTTAATCAATCAATGTATTTGGATAAATTACCAAAGAAAATGTAATTGGATAAACAGCATATGTACACGAGCAGCTACCCAGCAATGAATTGGGTACACCTCTGTGCTTGGAACATATCAGTGCAACTTCAGGAATGCTTAGCACAAATTCAGCAAACCAACTTCAAGTTGATTGAATCGTTGAGATTTCTACCAACAATCTATGTAGGGCTTGGGGCTTGGAGAAAAAAGGCGAGTGATCAGCACCCTTTAGATGAAAAACCCGTTCTGGAGGATTATTACTAATCATGCTTTGCTGTAAGGCTATTGGTATCGCATTATCCTCTGCTGTTTCTATATAAAACCGCCTGACAGAACCATACTTTGAGTCAGACAGACAAAGCTTCTCCAAAACTGGGGAAAAGGGAATTGGCCTCATTGAGACGGAAGCTAATGCAACATCCTGTACAAAATTTAAATGGTAAGAAAAGAAAGCTTGGAATATCTACTAATGCCAATGCCCGCACAGGTATACATGTAGTACACAGATTGATTTTCAAAGTTAAGACAACAGAAAATAATGCTTTTATCTAACCGTTCTCAGAAAGGGAAAAAAAAAAAGGGATTTCCATGCCTGGGTTCAACTTCGGCAAACGTTCAAGTTTTGCCTCCAGGGCTCTAGTTCAATGGTAAGAGCACAATGCACAATGCATGGATTAAGCACACATCACAAGTTCAAACATTGCAGCGGACAAAGCCTAATATTTAAGTGGACAAGGGTAGAGAGGCGGGCCCATTATCCACAACATTTTGAACTATGCGCTAGCTGGTCCTAGGAGATTTTTCAGTTATCAAAAATGGAGAAGTTATAATTTCCATCTTTTCACTTCCTTGAGTAAAACTGATATTCAGCAAATTCATATCACAGGTTTAGGCATCCACCGATCAATTCATTCCAAGATATAGGAGTCATTTAGTTACAAATTAGATAAGGCGCCCAATTATTCTCTGCTCTAAGGCAATGTCTACTTTGTCAGACAGAGGATTAGCAAACCTCCGAATGTTGAATCGCATATACCACTCCCGGGTGCCCATATATTTAACTTTTCAGGGTCATTGACATTTGCCCAAAGAGCGATATGTTACTAATTCATATTGATAGCTTTACTCCCAAACCCTCGTCGCAACTCCCAATTATAGTGGTCTTGACCAGTAATGGAAGTTACAAAGATTTTCAAAAGTTATGTTTTAGAGCTCGGTACATGGATAGAAAGTAAAAGTATTGCATAGAAGAGTCCAATTTTTAACATTTGCAGGAAAGGGTAGGTTTTGCCATTTTATGAACGTAAAAATGCTTCACCATCTATAACTAATAGACAACATACCTTAGCAGGACTATGGTTGAATAACAAGTCTCTCAGGAGTGACTTGTCCAAATCAATAGCGGTCGGTGGTTTGTCGTTCCCATTGGCATAGATAAATATTTGAGACTGTCTCATTAGGTCATTTGAATCTGTCTGCAATGAGTATGAACTTTTGTTAATAACAGGCATACTTAAAACTCTATTAGTCAAACAAGCAGCCAAAAATCTTCAATCTCAACAGTTCAAGGTACCAAGGGATGTGAAATCTGTAATCCTTTAATAATATTATGCCATTGATCATGTTATTCAATATAGAAGGAAAGGAAGGGGGGGGGGGGGGGGGGGGGGGGGGGGGGGGGGGGAAAGAGATTCTACTTTTCACTTCATTCTAGAATTAGAATAGCAAATGAAGTTTCAGGCATTTTGTCAGGTCAGCTTATCCTCAACTCGACATCCTAAGTTTTGAGAGGGACTGAAAAGTT